ATAGCCCTATGTTCTTATAGCCCTATTGTCCTATAGTCCTAGCCCTATGGTCCTATAACCGTATAGCCCCCTAGCCCTACAGCCCTAAAAATATGATGATTGGGGCTTTTCTCCGGTATTATTCTGCTAATACTGTTGATGATGATGATGACATAGTCTCTTGGGAACATCTTGGGCCTCTCTCGGGCCCTCCTTGGGCCGTCTTGTGGCTCTCTTAAGCCGTCTTGGGGCCCTTTTGGGCTGTCCTCAGGCCCTCTTGGGAGCCTCTCGGGCCCGCTTGGGAACCTCTTGGGGTCCTCTAGGGGCTCTCTTGGGGCCGTCGGGGGGACCTCTTGGGCCGTCTCGGGCCCCTCTTGGGCCGTCTGGGTGCCCTCTTGGACTGTCTTCGGCTCCTTCGGGTGGCCTCTGGGGCCGTCTTGGGACGATCGTTGGGGCCTCTTGGGTCGTCTTGGGCTTGTCTGGGAGCCCTCTTCGACCGTTGTGGGCCCCTTTGGGGCGCCTCTGGGGCCGTCTTGGGACGATCTTTGGGGCCTCTTGGGCCGCCTGGGGCCCTTCTGGAACTGAAAAGGGGAGAACCCGAAGAACATAAACACCAAAGGGAAATCAATGCTTTTGGCCTCCTGAGGCCCTCTCGGGAACCCTCTTGAGGAATCTCGAGCCGTCCAAAGGCTCTCTCGGACCGTCTGGAGGCCATCTAACCATCGGAGGGCCCTCTTGGACAACTTTCGGTCCCTTTGGGGGGCCTCTTGGGCCGTCTTGGGACGATCTTTTGGGTTTCTTGGGCCGTCTTGGGCCCGTCTATGGGCCCTCTTTGACCGTTTTGGGCCCCCTTGGGGCGCCTCTGGGGCCGTCTTGGGACGATCTTGGGGGCCTCGTGGGCCGTCTGGGGCCTCTCTGGGACTGAAAAAGGGATAACCCGAAGAACATGCAAAAACCATAAGAAACTACATGTTTTTGGCCTTCTGAGGCCCTCTCGGGGGCCCTCCTGAGGGCCTCTGGAGCAGTCCCGAGACTCTCTTGGGCCGTCTGGAGGTCATCTGAAACTCTCTTGGGGCTGTCTTGGGGCCCTCTGAAACCTTTTTGGAGCCCTCTGGCTGGTTCACCCGAAAACATAAAAAGAAACACGCCATGGGAGCCGCCCGGGAACCGCTTCACTCGAACAAATACAAAAGAAAAGAACCATTCAATATTGGGCCGTTTTGGGCCGTTCTTGGCCCGAAAAGGCGAGAACCAACAAAACCTTCAAAAACAAATGAAACATCAATGATCTCTGCCTGTCAGAACCCTCTTGGGAAGCCTCTTGGAGCGTGCAATTTCCTTGTTAACGGTCCGTAAACAAGGAAAAACGCGTCCGTCAACCGATTTTCCCTAAATCCCTGTTAAGGGCTCTGTTAACAGGGAAAAAGGTGCCCGAGCGTGCAACCCTGTTAAGCACACGATTTTCCCTGTTAAGGGCTCTGTTAACAAGGAAAAGGGATGCCCGAGCGTACACATTCCCTGTTAACGGTCCGTTAAAAGGGAAACGGGCGGGCCAGTAAAGCATCCGATTTTCCCTGTTAAGGGCTCCGTTAACAGGGAAAAGGGCGGGCCAGTAGACCCTGCAGTGCAGATGCCACCCCCCCCAAAACTCCCCCTAATTTCATCTCTTCCGACTAACGGATCGCACGCTACGCGCGCTTTCCGTCATCCGCCGCCCCAAGACAAGCAAGACTGCCCAAGCTGCCTCGAAGACGGACCAAGATGCCCCCCACGGCGGCCGAATATGGCCTCATGGCGGCCCAATGTGCCTTCTAGAGGACCCCAAAGGGCTCCACGAGTATTTCCAACAAGGCCCGACGACGCCAAAATCATTGATGTCTTTTTTGTTAAAAAACATTGATGTTGGCATTCTCGATGATTTGAACTTCCGTCAGCTCAAGACGGCCCAAGAAGCCTCCAGAATGGCCCTAAGACGGCCTAAGAGGCCCCGGCAGAATCCAACTATTGCCCAAGAGGACCCCGTGAGGGCCCAACATGCATCCAAGACGGCCCAAAGACGGCTCAAGAGGGCCTCCCGTGGGACCACAAACGGCCTCAGAAGGCCCTTCGACTGCCGAAGACGGCGCCAAGACGGCACCGAGGTACCTACCATACTGCCAATAGGGTCCCAAGACGGCCGAAGAGAGCCCCATGACGACCGAAGAGGGTCCCAAGACGGCCCTAAGGGACCCCCAAGACTGCCTCACAGGAAGCCAAAGACAACCACAAAACGGCCCAAACGGCCAACACAAATAGTGACGATGAAAGGTATCCCGTGTGACGGCTTTCCACTTTATCCTCTTCCTCCTGCTCCTGCTCCTCCTCCTCCTCCTCCTCGTCGTCGTCGTAGTCGTCGCCTTTATTAGCATCATCGTCACCATCACCACCATCATCATCATCATCATCATCATCATCATCATCATCAGCTTCAGCTTCAGCATCATCATCATCATCATCATCATCATCATCATCACCATCAGCATCATCATCGCCATCATCACCAGTATCTTCGTCATCACCACCATCATCACCACTACCATCGTCATCGTCATCGTCCTCGTCATAGTCATTGCCATCATCGTCGTAATCATCAGCATTATCAGCATCATCGTCGTCGTCATTACCATCATCACCACCACCACGACCACCACCACCACCACCACCATCATCATCATCATCATCATCATCATCATCATCGTCATCATCACCATCACCATCGTCATCATCATCATCATCACCATCACCATCACCATCACCATCACCATCACCATCACCATCACCATCACCATCACCATCACCATCACCATCATCATCATCATCATCAGCATCAGCATCATCATCATCATCATCATCATCATCATCATCATCATCATATCATCACCATCATCACCATCATCACCATCGACACCAACACCAGCACCAGCACCAACACCACCACCACCACTATCATCATCATCATCATCATCATCATCATCAGCAGCAGCAGCAGCATCAGCATCAGCATCATCATCACGGCTCCCAAACGTGGAAACATGAGGTGAAACACAGGTGGTGGCCTCCCGTGCACCCTCAAGCATGCGCCACCCAGATTGCTGGGCTGGCTCGGTGGCGGGACTTGCCGCAGGCAGCTGAATCATACAAATATAGATATATACGCAGCACTATATGTAAATACAATGTCTATATATGTAAACTAGAACCAGGCGCGCGCTTCGCGCGCGCTTAGGTTCTAGCTAGGAGGCGAGCTTGAGTCAACGAAAGTCGCAGGGAAGGGGGCAGGGGGAAGAAGGCCAGAGAGCGCTGAAGGATACAAATACTGGAACCCTCTTGTGATTTTGTGGGGGGCCTCGTCCGGCCGCTCGCTGGGAGTTTGACGTAGCTTCTCGGGAGCCTCTGAACCTGTCGGGGGCCTCCTGGAAGCAGGTTCGAAGCATTTTGGGGGCCGATTTGGGGCTTCTCGGGGCCTCCTTTGGGCCTCTTGGGGGTCTCCTGGGGCCTCTTGAGGGGCCTCCTTGGGGCCTCCTGGCGGCCTCTTGGGGCGGAAGGCTCGAGCTTGCGGTTCGTGGTCCCCCTCTGGGCCCCCTCTTGGGCCCGTCTTGGGGCCCTCTTGGGCCATCTTGGGCGCCTCTTGGGCCGTCTTGGGGCCCTCTTGGGCTGTCCTGGGGCCCTCTTGGAAGCTTCTTGGGCCGTCTTGGGGCGGTCTTGGAGGCCTCTTGGGCCGTCTTGGACGCGGTGAAAGCCCAAGATGCGAACATGCGAAAAATATACGTTTTCCCATAGGAATGGCACGATTTTTGTTTCTTGGACCTCTCTTGGGGTGCCTCTCGGAACGTCTTGGGCTGATTTTGGAAGCCTTTTGGCGCCTCTGGGCGGCGTTTTGGCGCCTCCTGGGATATGTTGGGCCGGAAGCTCGGAATTCGAGAGTGGCTTTCTCCTTCTGGGACCCCTCTAAGTCGTCTTGGGGTTCTCTTGGGCCGTCTTGGGGCCGTCCTGTCGAGCCACTCGTGCGCAGCCTTGGAGCGCTCCCAGAGGCCTCCTAGGCCGTCTTGTAGGCCTCTTGGGCCGTCTTGGACGCGGTGAAAGCCCAAGATGCGAACATGCGAAAAATATACGTTTTCCCATAGGAATGGCACGATTTTGTTTCTTGGACCTCTCTTGGGGTGCCTCTCGGAACGTCTTGGGGTGCTTTTGGGAGCCTTTTGGCGCCTCTTGGCGGCATTTTGGCGCCTCCTGGAGCCTCTTGGGCCGGAAGCTCGGAATTCGAGGTTGGCTTTCTCCGTCTGGGACCCCTCTCGAACTCGTCTTGGGGCTCTCTTCGGCCGTCTTGGGGCCGTCCTGGGCCACTCGTGCGCAGCCTTGGAGCGCTCCCGGAGGCCTCGTAGACCGTCTTGGGCGCCTCTTGGGCCGTCTTGGACGCGGTGAAAGCCCAAGAGGCGAACATGCGAAAAATATACGTTTTCCCATAGGAATGGCACGATTTTTGCTTCTTGGGCCTCTCTTGGGCTGCCTCTCGGAGCGTCTTGGAGGCTTCTGGGACCTTCTTGGTGTCATGACAGGCGTCTTGGAAGGCATCTGGAGCCATCGGAGCGCGTTCCGAAGCCGCCTGCGAACGATCTTGGACGGCGTCCGGCGGTCCGACGAGCCTCCGGGCCCCCCGGGGCCCACATTTGTGGTCGGGGTCCCGGCCCCGGGCCCCCGGACCCGGTGCGCCGTTATATGTATAAGATCTCTCTTTCTCTCTCTCTCTCTCTCTCTCTCTCTCTCTCTATATATATATATATAGAGAGAGAGGGAGAGAGAGAGAGAGAGAGAGAGAGGCAGAGAGAGAGAGAGAGAAAGAGAAAGAGAGAAAGAGAGAAAGAGAGAGAGAGAGAGAGAAAGAGAAAAAGAGATATGGGCAGAGGCCGATGTCATGACAGGACTTCGGCCATCGCCGTTTTCGACCGTGCCGCAGGATCGCTCCTTTCCCCCCTGGCCCCCGGTCAGGCGCCCACGAGGGAGGCCAGCCACACACCGCCGAGCTCCAAAGGGTGCTCAGTCCATCTCGTCCATCCTCCGCGGACCGTCTCCATCGGTCGCGCCGGCGCTGGCGCTGGAGGCTCCCGACGCCCCCTCCGCCGAGGACACCCCGGCTCGCTCCGCGGCCTCGGCCTCGGCCTCGGCCGCAGCCTGCCCCTCCGCCGCGATGGCGCGGAGCTCGGCCTGCAGGGGCGAGGCGAAGCTCTCCAGCGCCGCGCCGTCCTGGCCGCTGCGCAGCCACTCCAGTCTGAGGGAGCCCTGCGCCCTGTCCCGCCCCCTGAGGCTCCGCTGCATCGAGCTGTTCATCCTGCGCGACCTGGCGAGGACCTTTGCTCGGAACGCGTCCAGGTCGTCCACCCTCGGCTCCGGCAGTGGGTCCGCCGCGGCGTGCAGCCGGGTCTCGCGCGCCTGGGCGGCCCGCGCCGCGGCCTCGGCGACGTGGGCGCCGCACGCCATGCTCGCGGGGTCCTGCAGGAGGGCGCCCGCGACGGCGCCCCCCGGGCCCTCCGACGCCTCGCGGCCCTCCGAGAAGCCGAGCGCCCCGGCCGCCATCCTCTTCGCCACCTCCCTCTCCCTCTTGGCCTCCGCGGCCCGGCCCGCCCTCACCCGCCGGAGCAGCGCGGCCGCCTCGCTGCCGCTGCCCTGCGCGTCCGCGACCGGGGCCAGCCAGCGCTCCGCCTCGCCGGGGCGCGAGAGGGCCAGGCAGGCCTCGGCCGCGCGGAAGTGCGCCTTGGCGTTGCCCGGGTCCTCCCCCGCGGCGACCTGGCAGGCGCGCAGGGCCTTGCCGGGGTCCCCGAGCTTGAGGTAGCCCTGCGCCAGGTTGAGGTACAGGGAGAGCTCCAGCGCCCGGGACTCCTGCGACAGGGACGGCGGGCCGCCGCCGCGGCCGAGGCCCTCGACGTGCTCGCGGAGGGCGGCATTCCAGAAGCCGACGGCCGCCTGGACGTCCTGGCGCTGGTACGCGGCATTGCCCTCCGCCTTCAGCTCCGCCGCGGACGGTGAGCCTGAGGCCAGGGAGGGGGCGAGGACGAGAGGACGAGGCTCGGGGAGCGGAGGGGCCCGAGCTCCTCGTCCTGCTGCTGCCGCTCGCTGCTGCCCTCCTCCTGCCCCTCCTCCCTGCCCCTCCTCCCTGCCCCTCGCTTCTGCTCCTCGCCCTCGTCTTTGCCCTCGCCCTCCTCGTCCCCGTCCGACTCCTCCTCTCCTTGTGCGGCCATGGCACCGCCGCCAGCGGCGGCGCCTTCCGCTGGCACGGGCTCGGCACCCTCCGCGGCGGCGGCGGCCGCGTCCATCCGCCAGCGCCGGCGCCGACAGGGCCGCTGGCGCGGCTCTTGGCTGCGGTCGCTTGGGCCAAGGCCCGACCCCCGACCACAACGGAACACATCAAACGACCACCGAAATCCGCTCCACGCGAGGTGAATATCTGAACCAGCCCTGCAAGCAAAAAAGCACAGCGCCAGTCAAAAGAAAGATCTGCTCTGCCCTCACCTCCGCCGTGCCTCCCAGGGGCCCACGAAAGTGGCGACAGTCGCGCAGCTCGAAGCCACCCCAAGGAGCAGCGAGGTCTCAAATCAATCTGCACCGCCTCACCTCCGCCGTGCCTCCCAGGAGCTCAACAAAGTGGTGACAGTTGCGCGGTTCGCGGCCGCCCAAGGAACAACGAGGTCCCGAATGAGTTCGCATGGCCCCCGACTCCGCTGGACCTCCCAGAAGCCCACAAGAGGGGTGACAATTGTGCAATTCGCAACCACCTACAGAACAACGAGGTCCCAAATGGATCCGCGTTGCGCGGTTTGCAGCCACCTAGGGAGCAGCGAGGTCCCAAATGGGTCCCACAGAAGTGGTGACAGTTGCTCAACTCGCAGCCACCCAAGGAGAAGCGAGGTCCCACCTGGGTCCGCGTGGCCCCCGACTCTGCTGGATCTCCCAGGAGCCCATGAAAGCAATTGCGCGGTTCGCAACCACCTATGAACAACGAAGCCCCAAATGGGTCCGCGTGGCATCTGACTCCGCTAGATCTACCCGGAATCCACGAAAGTGGCGACAGTTGCGCGGTTCGCAGCCACCCAGGGATAAGCGAGGTCACCAATGGGTCCGCGTGGCCCCCGACTCCGCTGGACCCCCCAGGAGCTCACGAGAGTTGAGACTGTTGCACAGTTCGCGCAGCCCCCCATTAGGAAAGGTACGAACAATGGAGGCAAGAAGGCAGAAGGCAGGATACGTGAGGAGGAGGAGACAGGAGGACCTTGGAGACCACAGTGCTCTATTCAAAACGCGAACCCAATGCAAGCAGTGGTTGCTTTCATAGAGACCTCCTAGATGGGGTCGGAGTAGGTGGGGTCGGAGAATCGCGCGGCATCGCCGATACATCGGCGATGCATCGGCGATGCACCGGCGATGCACCAGCGATTCTTCGTCGACGTCGGCGATGCATCGGCGACGTCGACGTGAAGCAAATCGGTCCCCACATCGAGCCGCATCGCCGATGCATCGGCGATGCAGCGTGATCCTCCGACCCCATCTACTCCGACCCCATCCAGGAGGCCTACATTTCAAAGCTTGCAACGACCGCATCGCCACATTGATAATCAAAATTAACGGCGGCATGCTCACCCTGGTGAACGTCTACGCACCGCATTCCAAATATGACTACGCAGACCGCAAGTAATTCTACGACGAGCTGGACAATTATATCCGGCCAGCAACAACATATAGTGCTACTATGGCCACGGGCGACTTCAATGCTAAACTCTTGTACGTCGGGGCTGGGGAGGAGGAGATCATAAGGCCCCATGTGTTTCGTCGAAACTTGGGCGGTACAGGCGAATCCGGGACCGAAGGAACCCACATATCGAATCGACATCTTCTGGTGGAGTGCTGTCCAACACGATTTAGCAGTAGTTAACACATACTTTGACAACCCTGACGACATGAAGGTCACCTGCCGGAGTATCGGGACCCACTCGAAACATCAGGAACTTACCTGTTCGAAGTTCTCGCAGATCGATCATGTCTTGCGCCACCAGACGCAAAAATCTCTAATCAGTGATTGCTGGGTTGATAAGGGAACGGCTTTGAATTTTCACCACTTCTTGGAACTATTTGAAACCATCATGCATTTTCAGAAGGAATCGAAATCGCGCAAACGATGCTAGCACAAACAATCGTTCAAAGATCCAGAAGTGAAACGGACATTACGAATATATTTGTACGTGCTGCTACGGGCTTGCCTCCAACCTCCAACGTCGACGAATTGGAGAGGAATCTACAACATGCTTTTTCGACGGCGGCGACTGCGCTCCTGGAGCGTCACTTACGAACAAAACAAACATGGACAAGCCAAGACACTTTAGAATTGATTTCCCAGCGAAACGATTGCCGGAAAAATGGAGACCACTATTCCTATCAAGAGAAACGATTGAATGCACTGGTGCGGAAATCTGGTAAGCGAGACCGAGCAAAATGGTTGGATGACTTGGTGGGGTCAGCCAATTGGTCAGCCGTGCGGTCCTTGCGAAAACCCAAAGTAGTGAATCACACGAGCATCAAGACACCAGATGGGGCATTATCGGACACAGCTGAGCGCGCAGATGTTTTGGCGGACTACTTTGAAACAGTGGAATGGCAGTACACATTTGGCGACGTCCAGCAAACAAGCAACGAAAAGCTAGACGATGCGTTTCCAGTGAATACTGCAGCATCCACAGCCGAAGAATTGGCAGAAGCTCTGCGCGGACTACAGGGAGGCAAAGCAGCAGGACCAGCCGACATACCACCAGATTCCTGGAATATGCTCATGTCTAACAAACACGCTTGCGATATCCTTCTGCACATGTGTCAACAATGCAGGAATGCAAAGGGTATGTCTGATTCCTGGAGGCGCGCCAACATTGTGTCATGATTCAAACAGGGGAATGTGCATTACCTGAGAACTACAAGCCGATATCATTATTTCCAGTCGGCTACAAACTTTTGGCGTCGTTACTTTTGAAACGGGCCCTCAAGTGCGGGAGCGAATCATATGGCTTCCAACCAAAGCGCGGCACGGCAGACGCACACCTGTTAGTTCGGCGCATGATCGATGCAACTTTTCAAAGGACGATGGTGGGGTTCTCTTGCTGATGTTGGATTTGGCCAAAACTATCGACCGAGAGAAGCCAGATGTACGTGTGAATCCTTACACGCTTTGGGCTGCCTGTAGAAATGGTGCAAATGGTAAGGTCGATTTACAGCGCAAGATTTTTCACGATCATGGACCACACAGGATGCTCCTCGGAACGGCGGCAACAAGCTGGAATAGCCCAGGGGTGCCCGCTATCACCATATTTGTTTAGTATTGTGCAAACGACGCATTCGCAAACTTAAATTTGAAACCAGAACCTGATTATGTAGTCACTTATGATATCTTGTACGCAGACGACACGCTGCTGATATCGCACCACACAAACAATATGGAACACATGCTTACAACTATTCTGGAAGAAGGCGCGACACATGTATTATAATTGAATTGGGGAAAACTGTACAACTACAACTCTCCACTCAGGAATCCATTTCCGGATTCAGAAGTGAAACAATAGAAACAGCCAGGGAAGCCGTCTACCTTGGAGGTATTATCACATGTGATGGCAAAAGGACGTCGGAAGTTTCGCGGCGACTCGGGGAAGCGAGCCAGATTTTCAAAGATCTAAGCAAGGTGTGGTCTCATGCTGCAGTGGGTCGTAAGAGAAAACATGACATATACAGAAGCTGTGTTCTGAGCAAGCTCCTATATTCACTGGGTACCGTTTGGCTGCTCGCAGAAGACAAGGCACGCCTGGACGCGTTTCATTGTAGATGTGTCAGATTTGTATGTGGCATTCCGCCATCCTTCCTTTCAAGAGTTAGCAATACCATTGTGCTGGACAAGGCTGGGGCGACGCCTCTATCTGAGATCTTATTGGACAAGCAGGTGGCGCCATATCGCAATATTGCAAACTTAAGCGATTCAAACATTGTCAAAACCATACTTTGCAATAGCGATGGTGCTCCTAAGCAATGGGCGGTGCGCAGAAAAAGAGTGAGGCCAAGACAGCGCTGGGAAAGTGCAGTGTACGAAATGACTCAATATCGGTAGGTTTCCTTTAAATATCGGTAGGTTTCCTTTTTTGAGGGAGTTTCTGTGGAACTCACGTCATCCTCACCCCCGGCGCGAAGAGCACGAGTCCAGAGCGGCCTCCGGCACCGTTTCCGGACAGATCCGGTGGATCCGCTGGATCCGCTGGATCCGGTGACGAATCCCAAACCGGCGCCCTCGCTTGAGACATCCTCACAAAACCGGCCCCGGGGGAGGTGCCCAGAGGAGCCCAGAGCGGCCTCCGGCACCGTTTCCGGACAGATCCGGTGGATCCGCTGGATCCGCTGGATCCGGTGACGAATCCCAAACCGGCGCCCTCGCTTGAGACATCCTCACAAAACCGGCCCCGGGGGAGGTGCCCAGAGGAGCCCAGAGCGGCCTCCGGCACCGTTTCCGGACAGATCCGTGGATCCGCTGGATCCGGTGACGAATCCCAAACCGGCGCCCTCGCTTGAGACATCCTCACAAAACCGGCCCCGGGGGAGGTGCCCAGAGGAGCCCAGAGCGGCCTCCGGCACCGTTTCCGGACAGATCCGGTGGATCCGCTGGATCCGCTGGATCCGGTGACGAATCCCAAACCGGCGCCCTCGCTTGAGACATCCTCACAAAACCGGCCCCGGGGGAGGTGCCCAGAGGAGCCCAGAGCGGCCTCCGGCACCGTTTCCGGACAGATCCGCTGGATCCGCTGGATCCGGTGACGAATCCCAAACCGGCGCCCTCGCTTGAGACATCCTCACAAAACCGGCCCCGGGGGAGGTGCCCAGAGGAGCCCAGAGCGGCCTCCGGCACCGTTTCCGGACAGATCCGGACTGGATCCGCTGGATCCGACGAATCCCAAACCGGCGCCCTCGCTTGAGACATCCTCACAAAACCGGCCCCGGGGGAGGTGCCCAGAGGAGCCCAGAGCGGCCTCCGGCACCGTTTCCGGACAGAGATCCGCTGGATCCGCTGGATCCGGTGACGAATCCCAAACCGGCGCCCTCGCTTGAGACATCCTCACAAAACCGGCCCCGGGGGAGGTGCCCAGAGGAGCCCAGAGCGGCCTCCGGCACCGTTTCCGGACAGATCCGCTGGATCCGCTGGATCCGCTGGATCCGGTGACGAATCCCAAACAGGCGCCCTCGCTTGAGACATCCTCACAAAACCGGCCCCGGGGGAGGTGCCCAGAGGAGCCCA